TTCAGGCAGTAGCACGGGTGGTCTGAGGGTAACAGTGATGGCAAACCCTCCAGGGAACCAACCCTCGGGGGACCATCGCTCCTCTTGAACTCCGCAACCAGTTGAGCTGCCAAAGGAACATGTTGGGCCCTCTACAAGGAGCGTACCAGCAGTATTCTTCGGCGCTCCTCCCGACGATTGGATGTCGATTGCTGCATCGGAGGGTGAGTAGGAGCTTTCTGGAGGAAGATTAGGCTGCGCCGCTGCCCACTAGGATTGTAGCAATGCCTGAATCGGATCTGGAAATGACGGCTATGCTTTCCCGGGCCGCTGTGAGGGTAGGGCTCGAGTGGAAACCTCCACCATGTCTCGAGCCCTCAAGGTTGGACGATTGGTTCGTCGGGGTGGCCCGCACTGGTTCTCAGTGCCCTGCCCCAGTGCCATTCTTCCCGCAGGTGTATGAGGGGGCTTTCCAGGTCGTGGAAGGCACCTTTTTCTGCCGGAAACTGACCTGCTAGCTCCTCCTCCCTCACCACTCTCGACGGTGGTGAAGCTAGGGGGGTATACAGGAGTCCCCCTGGTGGAGCAGTCGGTTGCGATGCAGTTGTGTCCTGATACCACCTCCACCCAGCAGGGCAAACCGTGCCTCCCCCCCGGGTCTGTAGGTACTCGTCTAGTCTGTCCGGCGATGTTTATGTGACCTGTGGAGAAGCTGGTGAGAACTTGCTAAGCACAAGGGTGGTTATGATCCGGAAGTTCTGAAAGAGCTCCGAACCGCATCTGATCTCTGGCTCTCTGGCTGTGTCTGGCCGACATGCGCGAGACGGACAAGACAAGATTCTTGAACGCCCCCGTGTCCCAGGTTCGGCGACCGGCGGCCCAGCAGTTCTCCGCCGCCCAAAAGCAGACTGAGGCCATCAGGTAAATCCTGCCCCGGCGTGCAGCTGCTGCCTCCACCCGGCCGCCGGTGGCAGCGCCTAAGCCCGCTCGTCGGCCCCCGCCAGACCTGGTGGTAAGCGAAGGAGCAAAAGGCCCTGAGACGGGCGACCCAGAGATGGAGGGAGTTGCTCTTCGGGAGATGGTGAACGCACCACTCCCTCCCCCGGAGGAGGGCCGGGTGGAGAATCCTTTGTTTCCTTTTTTCTGCCACTGGCCTCGCGGTCAGTGGTACCCAAATTCTCGACAAAAGAGCAATTTCTTCCTTCTCTGGGTCCCCTGAGGGGACGGGGGGCTGTGGACGGTCCAGAGCCGTATCACACTCACCCTCCTCTCTCGCCAGCGAGCAGCAGTGGGCGGATTTGGAGGACGAACCAACGGACTACCCACGCACCCTCTGCTCAAACGCAGGTCAGTGTTGCACACACTCAGACCCCGCCTCGGACCGGCAAAGAGACGCCCGGGCTGGGTCCCTGCATTCTTTCGCACTGCCCCACTGCGGGTACGCCTGTAGTTCCGTTGATGCCACTTGCGCGGTGTCTGGGAGCCTGGCTAGAGCTACCCAGCCCACCTCGATGGCTCTGTCGAACCGTCAGGCTCGGCTATGCGATTCAATTCGCCTGGCGCCCTTCCAAGTTCAGGGGCGTCCACTTTATGTCAGTGAAAGCAGCAGATGCCCCCGTCTTGCGTGTATAGATCGCAGTCCTACTGGCGAAGGATGCGATAGAGCTGGTCTCTCCAGCCGATATGAGGTCGGGGTTTTATAGCCCTTACTTCATTGTACCCGATGGCTCCGTCGAACCGTCAGGCTCGGCTATGCGATTCAGTTCGCCCGGCGCCCTCCCAAGTTCAGGGGCGTCCACTTTATGTCAGTGAAAGCAGCAGATGCCCCCGTCTTGCGTGTATAGATCGCAGTCCTACTGGCGAAGGATGCGATAGAGCTGGTCTCTCCAGCCGATATGAGGTCGGGGTTTTATAGCCCTTACTTCATTGTACCCAAGAAAGGCGGTGGGTTGAGACCTATCTTGGACCTGCGCGTCGTGAACCGGGCCCTTCACAGGCTCCCGTTCAAGATGCTCATGCAGAAATG